CAGTATAAAAAATTTTACAGGCTTTTTAGCATTTAAAAGTGAAGAAAGACTATGATTCCTTTTGCAATTTTTGTTTCAACACCCCCAAAACGGGGTAGCCGGAAACCTAGCCGTTGTTAAGCAGGGCCCTCCTGTTTTGTATATTATTTTTATCCCTAGCTATTTGAGCACTTAATAGTGTAAACGTGTTATCAGGTGTTTTTCTATGCAATGAGACTGAAAAAACCCCCTCTTCCACCTGCCACTGATTTTCCCTTATTGCACGGGTTGGGAACCTAAGACCCGTACAAATGGGGCCCATGCTGTATACATATTGCATACAGGTAATTGTAATTCATTTGTAATTTTTATAGAGAAAACCCCCAGCAAAATTTAAAGTTGTACATGCAGAGCACAAGGACTAAAATAAAGCTTTTTATGAGTTCATTTCCTTTCCAGGAAGATGTCTTGATGTTCATAAAGGGATCTTGATGCAATGAATTGGAATTACCTTCCACTTCCTTGGATCAAATCTGATTACCTCCATTGGATGCTATAGGTTTTCAGTACTTCATAATGAATAATAAAAATTTGGGTCAGTCCAATCACAGGTACCTGAGTCATCCTTGAGTTAAGGTTGAAGGCACATCTCCATTGGGCTGGATATTTGTAAACCAGTGAGGATTTTTTTTTTTTTTTTTGTAGCACGAAAAGATGTGGTATATAACTTCCCTTTTAATTGCTCAATCTGCAAAGTTTGGCTATTGTTTCATATATTTTTATTAAAACTTTTGTTTTAAACCAGATAAACTGAAATAGTACTTTTTTAAAACCAACAATATACAGTAGAACTCCCATTTTCCACAGATTCGGTATTCGCAGTTTCAGTTATCCAGGGTTTGCTGTACCCCCAAAAATAACCCTTAATTATGTTAAAATTTGGCCCCAAAGTGCAAAAGTAGTGATGCTGGCAGTTCTGTGAAATACTTCCCATCAGACTTGTTTTGCATAATTTATCAATTAAACTTTATCATGGGTATGTATGTAAATGAAAATGACAAATGACTTAAATATAGGGTTTGTACTATCCACATTTTCAGGAAAATCATAGTATGTCTTAGAACATATCCCCTGCAGATACAGGGGGACTACTGTACAGTAGAAATGCATAGTAGGAAAACACAGACCTTTGTATCTCTTCTATCACCATTCATTATCATTTAGCTTCAAAAAAGAGTACTCAAAATGCTAATCAGGGTTTCAGAGGCCAAAATATTGCACTGTGAGTATTGAATCCAATTTAGCATACATTGCTTAACAATTTCCTATAAATTCCAAATAGCATATTTTTCACTCTTAAAAGCAGTGTTATCTACCTTTGTTACTGGAAGCAGAGTACCTCAACGGGCAATGCTGGGTCCAGCTGCAGTCTTGCTGGTGGTGTCCTATGTGGTTGTGATGCTCTTTAGCAGTTTTCATACTCTGTCTGAGTCTCTTTCTCAATGGGTCCATCACCACCAGTCTATTGTCAACTTTACTGACATTGCTCCAAATTATTCTGGTGAGTGGGGTTTCTTCTTCATCTCAACTTTTCTGCTGTTTGGTTTTGCTTGCTTGCTTGCTATTTTTTTTTTTTTTTTACATTTTGCTGCTCGTGTTCTTTGTTTATCTTGTTTATAGATTACCATTGAGTCTTTCTCCCTATTTTTTAGGCTATTATCATTCAAAATTTTTCCCCAATCTCTAGTGTTTATTATCCTTAAACATTACATGCTGGCTAATGCTTGTTAGTCTTGAAAACTTGCTTTTAATTGTAGATTAGTTATGGTGAGCACTAAACCCTCAACAGTATTTTTTTGCTAACTAGAGGAATAGTCAAGTGAGTGAATGTTGGTGTACAGTCAAGAATATATGCTGCAGTTAAAGTTGGGCCAGTGGTTTATTTCTGGGTGTCCCCGTGGAAATAATGGAGGTGAGACATGGTTTTTCATCGTGTCACTGTTGGGGCTAATAGTGGTGAGACCGGAGTAGCCTTCGATGTAGTGGGGGAGTGGGGTGGGGTGAGGATTTCCATGCCATACCAAACTTCTGAGTGTAAAACTTATTAAATTTCGATTTTGCTCAAAAATGCAAAATTTTTAAGTTTAAAGGTAGTAGGAACTGGAATGGGAAATCATAATTAATGATGCAAAAATTTGTATTTAAAGATAATTTTTTCACTTAGAAGTTTGGTATGGCAATGGAATCCCCTTTCACCCCGTTCTTTTTAACTATACATGAAATTTTTTTAAACAAAGGGTGCTTTAAAACAAAACCCCCCTATGAGCTAAATGGTTCAGATTGTTGATTTTTGTGTTTTATGCCCAAGAATGTAGTATACACCATTTCCTTGGCAAATGAAAAAGCTTAGCCCATTCTATAAAATTTAATGTTGATTTTTAAGAAAATAACTCATTGCCTTTTCTAGATGTTTTAATTATTAAGGGTAATAATGAATTCAAATTTAAAATTTACAGAAAACCCACAATAAACTTGGAGGGATATGTTGTGTATCTTTATATGTGTATGCTTCTAAACTGTTGTATTCTGAGCACCTCTGCAAAAACAGTGATAATGTGCGAGTGTGGTGAAAGTGTTGAATGATGAAAGTATTTTCTTTTTGGGGATTTTCTTTCTTTTTTGGGTCACCCTGCCTCGGTGGGAGACGGCCGACTTGTTGAAAAAAAAAAAAAATATGAAGGAGGGTGTTAATGTTGCAGTTTAAAAACTGTAGTGTAAAGCACCTTCTGGCAAGACAGTGATGGAGTGAATGATGGTGAAAGTTTTTCTTTTTTGGGCCACCCTGCCTTGGTGGGAATCGGCCAGTGTGATAATAAAAAAAAAAGAATATATATGTATATATATGAGAGAGAGAGAGGGGGGGGACACCCTTGCTGAATAGGTTAAACTCGTTTGTTTGGCATGACATAAATACAAACATGATACAGAAAGATTGTGGTCACCAGGATTCAAACCCACATTTGGAAGGTGGCATAGTTCCTATGTGCGCCTTAGCCACAGGTAGCTTGGTTACAAGCCATGTTTCTTCCTTGCACAGTATGTACCTATGTTGTTTCTGTGTGGTGCATTGACATAGCATTGCTTGTTGTGGTCAGAACATACAGGAGGTGAAACCATGCCTGAGGCCCACTGGTGTACCCAGTGCTAAGAAGAAACATAGTCTGTAACCAGCTTTGAGGCATCTTTGGACGAGTGGTCTAAGGGGTCATGTAGGGAAACTATACCACCTTCCAACATGGGTTTGAATCCTGCTGTGATCTTTCTCTGTGTATACTTCTGTTTGGTGGCATTGACACACCACAAGCTCCTCGACTTACGATGGGGTTATATTCCAATGACCCCACCGTAAGTCGAAAATATCTTAAGTCAAATATGAATATGATGTGCTAAATAAGTAAACCAATAAATAACTACACCTACCATCCGATTTACGACCTGCTCGACTTACATCCACTCGACTTAAAACCGTGCATCTGGCAGCTGGGCTGGCTGATGCACACCACTGTACAATATTTGACGATACTCGCGGCAGCAATGCGTCATGCAGGCAGCATCAGTTTGAGTAACCCTTCCTATCAGCAGTATCGTACTGTATTAACTGTACTAACTGGACAGTAAGTTTCACCATGGCCCCTAAGATGAAGTCTGAACCTTGCACTGGAGATTGTGGCAAGAAAGGCTCTCTCAAACTCTATTTGTTTTTACTGTTGCACATAAACCTGTCTGTATCTGTCTGCCTGTATATCTGTGTGTGTGTCTTTTTATCTGTCTGTCTACTGTGTCTGCTTGTCTGTCTCAGAGCCACTCATTAAGAGTGTAATTGGTCTTGAAGATGCCATATTAATAATGGATAATAACACAATAATAATCATTGAGGGCGCATTAAATGTGTATAAACGTTAATATAAACATTTTGCTTAATCCATATATGATTTTTTTTTCAAAATTATATAATAAACATGGCTACATAGCATATAAACACATAAATTAACAAATATGAGATGTTTTCTGGTCGGCTTGACAGAGTGAACAAAAACATTCGTGTCCGGGCTGGTAACAACAACAACAACTACTGTTTGTTTACATAACTCCGAACCTTCTACACTCTCATTCTCGTTTATTCATTTATCTTGTTTACTCACCTCTCACTCTACATTAAGACTACAGATATTTTAAGGAAAGTAATGAGTGGACACGATTATTATAGTTTAATAATATTATTATTATTAGTACATATGTATTATTGTAATAATAATAATATTATTATTATTATTTTAGGGCACTGGAGCACAGATCCACTGTTATAGCACTTTGTCTGGATACAGAGATACAGAGAGAGAGAGACAGCACATTCAGCCAACCAGCCGGATACGTATTACACATATTGCAGGTTGTTTCTCTTTACTTAGGGTATAGGTTATACTACATTCTGGCAAGATGACACTACCAGTGGTATTCTCCCATTCCACTGTGTCGACAATACATAAAGATAGCAGTAATATATGATACTGTATGTGTTGTAAAATTTGCAATACAGTTCACTACCATGTATACATTATATCCAATACATAAATAATTAAAATATAACAGTAGAAGTAAATTAGGGTAAAAGAATGAAATAATGATTGTACATTACAGTACTATGTAGGTAGTTTATATAGGAAAGGTTTGACATTATGCTCTACCCAGTATGTCGGCCATTTCAAAGGTTCGACTTGCATCCATTTTGACTTATGACCGGTTAATCGGAACCAAGCTTGGTCGTAAGTCGGATGGTACCTGTACTGTCACTGAATAAGTAAATAAACAAATAATTACTGTAACTAATACCAGCATTGAAAATTGAAAAAATGTATACATGTTACGGACTTGCTACCTTCGTGCTGAGTAAACTGTTAAGTTTCATCTCCAAAGAAATTACTTTTGCACCATTGTAGAGTTAAAATATCCTAAGTCAAACCATTGTAATTCAAGGAGCACCTGTATATGTATATATTTATTTATTTTATGTATACTGTACGAATGTCCACTCAACAGGGACTGTCTTTGGGATAAGTAATACATTTTCTTCGATCACAGCCTTTATTGCACCCATGGCTGTTGGTGCCATTACGAATAATCAGGTGAGTGTGGCGAGCAGTTGTGTATGTTTGCATTATACAGTACCATTAATTGCAAATAAATGGCCTCAAGCTGCCAAGTTCAACTCATGTTATTACAGTTTCTAAGTTCATGCCAAAAATTTCCTTTTCCATGCTGTTTACGTGTATATGAATTTTGATTATGCTTCAGCAAACAATGAGTCAGTGGCAGAAGGTGTTCTGGATGTGTGTGCCCCTCTATGGGATCACTGAACTTTTCTACCTCATGTTCTGCTCTGGTAGTGTTCAGCCCTGGAACTACCATGCAGTACAGCAGCCACAGGGAAGAACTATAGATGCTCCAGAACAGACTGTGATGCTCTAGCCATGACATCATCAAGGGTCATCTTAAGATCTCTACCATCCAGCTGTGTCAGCTACAAGATATTCCAGAACCTCAACAATCTAAAATGCCTAATTCTGCTGGTCTAGAGATACAATGTGCAGCACTACTTATGGAACTGTGTAATAATTTAATCGTGGAATCAGTTGCCACTATGCTCAGTTTTGAAACAAATGTACTTGATTAAACTTCAAGAAAAGCTTCTGAGACAGCCTTGCTCTTGATAAATTTATTCCCAAGAAGAAAATTAGTTACAATAATAGGCTAACAATGTATAATTCTTACAAAGAAATGCCTATAGCTATGCAAACATTTCAGGTAGTCTAAATTTATGTCTTGGTGCTCATCATTTAAATTATGCCAGATGGAAGGCACCTGGTGTACTTTAACCCTTGAACCATCCAAATGTTGATCTACATTTTGCTTCTAGTGTTCTGAATAATTTGAATTTTTTGAAAACAGGGCAATTTTCTGTGTGTAATAACACCTCCAAAAAAATTTTTGGGCCAGCACTTATCAAGATTAAAACAGTGAAGTTGGCACTAGATGCTCTTGTTACAGATATGTTCTGTTAATTACAATTTATAGTAGTTCTTATGATTTTATAGCTAATATTAGGTAAGGGAATACCAATCATACACACACTGACAGGTGAACGTTTTCAGCTGCCTTGGTCACATACTATTGTCTAGAAATAGAGATTTTTAGAAATACTGGAGTATATGAAACTCCTTGAAGCATAGTGTCAGTGTCACTCTACACTGCTGATGGTGCAGTCACTCAATATTGCTGATTGTGCACTGCTTCCAGTGCACAATCAGCAATACATGTCAACTGGTGGGTCTAATATGCTTTCACAAATGCACTGATATTTCTACCATTTTTACAATAATTCAGTAGTCTGCATAACAGTAAATCTTTTATTTTTTGTGAACAGAAATTCAAATGGAAACAAGCGTAATATAAGAGGGGCCTGGAGACGTGACTAATGAACAGAGAAAATGTTATTTTAGTGCTAGGAATGTTTGCATTGTTAATTCTGGACCCTATTTTGAAATTGGCCTTTGTGTATGAAATTGGCCAAATTGCCAATTTCTGGTCACTTGATTGAGTAATTGAAATCGGTAATTGGGCGGTTTCTTGTACTCGATCAATATAACAATGGAATTGGCCAAAAATAGGGCTAAAATGGGCAAAATCACCGAGACAGCTAATTCGCAAGAGCTTAATTCTGTAAGTTTTCCATCAAATTTCGTAGTTTTGATTTCATTATCACTGGGAAAAGATTCTCTATCATTTAATTTTTTTTTTTTTTTATATATACTTCAACACTGAGATCAGGTTTGTGAGCAGGGGTGTCAACAGTGAAAGGGTTAAAAATTTGATAAACCTCATCCCCTGGTTCTTCATATAAAAACTTTGTTATTCTGCATTTCTAACAAAAAAAATTTTTTTTTCGTTGGGTCCAGGCTGCATTGAAGACATGAAAGACACTCTGCTTGGGCAGTACTGACCTCCCGTTTCTATGGGGGTGCCCATTCACAGACTATTTTGCTGTAAACTCTAACCACCCCTTTTAAATTGGAACAGTGTTGCTCATATGACACCAAAAATTTCATTCTATAAACCAAGTTAAAATTTCGGCCTCTTTTTATTTAGTGTTGAGGTTGGGGGGTCACGCTCCCCATCTTTGATCAGGACACCCGTTTGCCTGGGTAAACTGGGGAGGCGCCAATTTTTTTGGATATCCAGTCCACAATGACACACAATTTACCCCCTTTTCACCACCTAACGCCCTTACTTTTTTTTCCCTGTTTGCTGACGGGCATGTCTGACTCACTCCGTTGACTTTGACAGCAAACTGATTTTATATACAAAATTGGATTGTTTCCCTTTTAAAAACCCCCTCACAGCCCCTTTATTCTCTACCCCCTGCTTCCTCTCATTCTTGATTTCTCTTTGATCCCGCAAAACCCCTGCCCCGCAATGCTGTATGACCCTATAAAGTTTGCATTTTTCCATGTGCAGGCATTCCCTTTCCACATCCACGACTAAAATTACTAAAAGTTCCCTAATTCGTAAGTTATTTGCTCTTTCAACACGTGTCCCTGGAAAACAGTGTTATGGTAAAGAAAAGGGAATTGGCAGCATGAAAAACATCTTACTTTTCCAATTCAATAAGCGGGGGATGGAATGAGTAAGATAGGCATTTTACTCAAAAGGCAGTAAGGGGGGTGGTTTTGTAAAGATATCTTTAGAGTAACTGAAATGTTATCCAGTGAAGTAGAATAATTTTTTGTGACAGAACATATGGTTTGTCTTTGTAGAAAAAAAAATGATGCAAAAGTCCCTGACCAGCCAGGCTGTGGCTCGTACATTGGATTGCCAGCAGTAACAGCCTGGTTGATCAGGCTCTGATCCCCCAGGAGGCCTGGTCACAGACCAGGCCATGAGGGGGTGTTGGGCCCCTGGAACATACTCCAGGTAAACAGCAGATATGAGTCTTGTCTCAGGAAAGTATCGAAAACAAAGGGGGGGAAAGCATGGATGCGTGTTACTTTCGTGACGTGAAAGTAGCATTCCCCACATGTCACGAAAGTAGCATTCAATAAAAAATTGACAGGATGAGTGCTACTTTCGTGGTCACAAAAGTAGCATCAGGCATACACGAAAAATAGCAATGATTTTTTTCCCTGTGGGTGTATGCGTGCTACTTTCGTGTCACGAAAGTAATTTGGTAAAAAATTGAGACCTGGATGGATGCTACTTTCGTTTACACGAAAGTAGCATCTGGCATGTCACAAAAAAATGACATGGATGAGTGCTACTTTCGTGACACGAAAGAGGTTTTGGAAAAAAACAGACCTGGGGGTGTACTTCGTGTACGAAAGTACATTTGGTAAAAATTGGACCTGGGTGGATGCTACTTTCGTGACACAAAGTAGCATCTGGAAGTCACAAAAAAAATGACATGGATGAGTGCTACTTTCGTGGACACGAAAGAGGCATCTGGAAAAAAAAAACAGACCTGGAGGGGTGCTGCTTCGTGACACGAAAGTAGACCCCTCCAGGGCTCAATTTTTGCTACTTTTGTGTCACAAGTAGCACTCATTCAGTCGTTTTTTGACAAGCAATTGACACGCAGAGGGATCAAAAAAACAGACTAGGGTGCTGCTTTGTCACGAAGTAGCACCCCTCAGGTCTCAAATTTTGCTACTTTCGTGCACGAAGTAGCACTATGTCGTCTTGACATGCAGATGCTCTTTTCGTGTCACGAGTAGCAAGGACCAATTTTGCTACTCGTGACACGAAAGTAGCATCTGCATGTCAAAAATGACATGATGAGTGCTTTCTTTCGTGACGAAAGTAGCAAAATTAGACCTGGAGGGTGCTACTTTCTGCCTAGCCGCACCGTACGAAAAAACACCTCCAGCCAATTTTGCATTTCGGTCAAATAAAATCAGATTTTTTAATGCAGTGCTACTTTCGTGACACGAAAGTAGCAAAATTTGGACCTGAGGGGTGCTACTTTCGTGCACGAAGCTTCAGCAAAAACGACATGATATGCTACTTTCGTGACACAAAAACAAAATTTCCGGGGGGGGTGCTACTTCGTGTCACGAAAGTACACACCGCAAATTTTTGTGACAAGCAAAATTGACGTGGGATGGGTGCATGACTATTTGGTCAACGAAAAGTAACATTGTAACAAAAAAGTGACAAGCCATTGGGGTACTTTCATCAAAAGTGCACTCCCATGTCTCAATGACAGCCCCCTACTTTCAGACAGAATGCACCTACCCCCGTAATTTTTTTGCCTACTTTTGCCGAAAAATTTGCTTGTTTTTGGGGGTTTGGGAATGCCTACTTTTGTGACACGAAAGTTTAACCGAACATGGCTTTGGGGTCACAAAAGTAGCATTTGCCAACAAAAGTTACAAGAGGGGCATTGACGTTTGCTATTTTTGTGTAGCAAAAGTAGCACTTGGTCTGTCATGAAAGTAGCACTGGTGGTGTGGGGGGGCAACCACGAAAGTAGCTAGAAAACCCACTACAGGAGAAAAGGCAGCAGAGAGCACAGATGTGCACTTTTCGTGATATGACAGTAACAAAAATCATAGGCGAATAAACATGGATGCATGCTAACTTAAACGACATGAAAGTAGCACTGGGTCTTAAAATTGACAAAACCCCCATCACAGATGAATTTGCATTACTTTGCAACACAAAAAACTTGTCCTGATACCCAAAAATAGCAGTCCCCCTTCCTTCCCACAGCAAAAAATGAAGAACACAAGGTTTCTTTCATGTCACAAAAGTATAATTTGGTCTTGCATGGGTGAAGTCCCCAGCGTTTTTGTTTATAATAATAAAGGCCTTTGCCCAAACAAAGTCACACCCAGAAAAAGAAAGTGGTACTACGTGACAGAGAAAAAACAACCTGAGTACAACAAGTGATTCGACCCCTTAGGAATAAAACTTTGGTTTAAAAACTTGTGTACGCGAAAAGAAAATTTTAAGTTTGGAGCAGGACATAGCATTTGAAAGGTAGAAAACTTGGTTAAAAAAACGGGCCCCCGTACCAAAAAATTTTTAATGCTTTTCCATAGAAATTTAATGTGATTCCCCTTTTCATCACTAAAATCAGCCTCCGGGGCCCAAAACCAAAAAAAAAAAAAAAAAAAACCCTAGGGTTGTACAGCGCTGAAAATGATGTCTTATTATTTCGAGTCGTGAAACTAAAGTTTTAATGAATGTCCTTGGCTCTCTTACTACTCTGTCACAAAAGTAACATGGCAAGTTATCTAATGCCCATGAAAGCAACACTGGAATATAGGTACATGTACAGTGATCAGATACAAAGCTTTCGAGTTAACTTTGTGTCACGAGAATAATTTAATGTTTTGGGATCCTACTAAATCAACTTTATAAATGTAAAGAGCTCTTGCTGTTTTAGTCATGTTATGAAGTAGCATCAGATACAGTGCTCCGAGGTCTTGCCCTTTTTAAAAC